TCCGAGTCTTTATCGATACCACTATCGATACTTTTCTGTTATTTGCTGGAAAGACGATGCGACAATATTTAGCAAATAAATAATTGTATTTTAAATTAAATGTAATTTCTAATAAATGGTGGCATCTGTAGTTTAATTATATATTCTAAAATAATTTGAGCAATATACAACTGTATTACTCATGTTTCTCGCCAAAAACTAAATTTCCCTTTTCTTTACGTTACACTTGAACGCATCATGATAACCTAATTGTCGTTTTACTGAACACATCATCACGCAGCACGTCTGAAACTTTATTTACTTTTCAAGCTAACTAGCTTGTATGCTGCCGATTACAACAATTAATTCAATTCAGTTTTATTTCTATAGCGCCACATCACAACAACAGTTGTCTCACAGCTTTCCAAACAGAGCAGGTCAGACCCTACTCTGAAGTTAACTACAGAAACCCAACAATTCCCACCGTGAGCAAGCACTAGGCGACACACGCAAGGAAAAACTTCCTTTTAACAGGCAGAAACCTGGAGCAGAACCATGGCTCAGGGTGGGCGGCCATCTGCCTCGGCCGGTTGGGGGTGAGAGAGACAGAGAGAGAGAGAGAGAGAGAGAGAGAAAGAGAGGGCGAGAGAAGGACAGAGGGAGCAGAGAGCGATATACATATGTTCAACTCTCATAAGTCTATAATTTGTTATTCTTTCAATGATACTTGCCTTATTGGAATGTATGTAAGTTGTATTTGTTTTATATTGTATTATTTAGAATCAAATGTATTTGCCTTTGTTTTGAAGTTTAGAGAACGGCGCTTTTATTTTGAAATCCAGTCTTGGTCTGAGCTCTCGCGCGAGAAGCAGAGATGCCGGAGAAAAAGATTTTACGAAGATAAGGGCTAATGCGCATTGGAATATCAAAGTTTGGACAATTCCCTTTTTTCTCGCAGCATGCAGCCAACGAGGTATTTTATTTATTTGTTTGCTTTTAAGTATAATTTTGCTATGCTCTGCAGGTTATTGTATGTCTCATTACGGTTTGTTCTTTGCTAACATTGCTAGTTTTCACGGTGGATTTGGAGATTGCCAAGGACTTCAAATAAACCAGTAAAAGAAAACCACTTGAGTCTGCACGTGCTTGAAGGGAATTATACGGAGAGTTCAAAGCATCACCGGCGATTCAGACAAACCCACAAATCCACACACACACACACACACACACACACACACACACACACATACACACACACACACACACACTAGGGTTGTCACGATACTAAAATGTTCAACTCCATACCGAAATATTTGATACTCGATACCATTTTCGATACCACAAGGATGAAAACAAAGACCCAAAAATGACCCTAATCCTAAACCTAAATTTAACCCTGACTCTAACCCGGACCCTAACCCGATGCTGTGACATAATTAAAGTGGCTGCCATCAAACAAACTGAAGCCTCTCAGGATTTAATCTGCCGTCTCTGTCTGCTTCGTTTAGCTCCGACTGAGTGCCCCCCCCCCAGCCCCTCCTGTTTTTAATCTTAATATTCAATCTTTAATATTAATCTTAGTCTGAGGGAGCAGCTGAGGGAGGAGTTAGTTCATATTAAAAAAAAATGCTAACCTGTCTTTTCCTGATAGCAATCAGTAAGTATTCTGGTGTAAAAACATTTAGGGGAGCATTTGTTTTTTGTCCCTTTTATAAGTCAATTCTCAGGTTATCCTGAAGCTTTAGAATTAGTCTACAAGTTATTTTATCCTAATTATAAACGAGGAGCCCGATCCAAACCACTATAATGCATTAATGTTCCCCTTTGCTTGACCAAATAGTTGGTTTCCAATTTTATCAGATGCCACAGCTTCAGTCTCTCATCTTCCTTCTGAAAAGAGCCCGAGGTCTCCGACTCCCACGTTTCTGGGGTCTTTTTTTTTTATATCTGCCTGTAACTTTTCCAAAGTGGAGTCTGACTGATAACAAACCGTTATCAACTCATTTCTAACCAGTCGATGCTAACGTAATAACGCTGGTGCTGATATTACCCCAAAATGACCCTAACACTAAACCTGACCCTGACCCTAATCCTAAACGGAGCATCAGCCACCCCAGGAAACCCAGTTTGGACCAGCTAATTCCCAGTGGGAGGACTGGATCCCGACCGGTGACCGGCTAACCCTAACCCTAACCCAGGCTGTTTTTGGCCCGGGGGGGGCGGGATTCAGCTGCCAGTTAGGGAACCGTTTAAGAAAATCCCTACGGAAAAACACGCCTGATTGACTAGCAAAGAGACAAACAAAGCATAATTTATCAGCGAAAACCTCAAGGTTCCACTTCAGTTTCTGTCCATAAAGCGTCCTGTTGAGGACGAGGTTTACTGGGACCTTCATTTTGTGAGGGAGAATTAGAGACAAAAAGATCAAAACTCGGCCCACACAACACCCAGAATAGCCCTTTAAAGGGGACATATCATGCAAAACCAAGTTTTTAATCATTTGATTCTGTACATTTGGGACTGTGGAGGGCCTATCAGCAGGAAAAGTGTGAAAAAAAATGGCTCGGTCATGTTTTTTGTGGGCCGCTTCAGTCTGAATCCAGGAGATAAATCAGGAGGTTTCAGGAGTAGGTAGTTTTTGACCTCATTAGCTCTAGCTCATTATAATATTCCAGCCTTTCACCTGCATGTTGCCCCCCCCCTCAGCTTACTCCCCTATCTGTGGAGACGTCCTGGTAGCGTGAGCGTTAGCATGGTAGCGTTAGCATGGTAGCGTTAGCGTGCCGACGTGGGCACACCTCCCTGAAGAAGTGGGTGGATTGCCTGTGTCTCATTTGCATTTAAAGAGACAGGCACTCCAAAGCGAGCGCTCTGAACGGGGCTGTTTTGGGTTAGGGTTAGGGTTAGGGTTAGGGTTAGGCA